GGGGTCACAAACAGTTGGACACGACTTAATGGCTAAACAACAACAACAAGGACTCCTGTAGTGCTTCAAGAATCTTGTGGCTTAAGTAAAAAAAAAAAATTGAAATTTTTGTTCCTCCTTCTCCCATGTTTTCTAATATTTATTCACTTGGACTTCAGAAATTGCTTTAATAAATGGAATTTATGGAGAAATGGAGGCTGTTTTCTTTTGCTTGATGAAATGTACCCAGTGAGTTGTGGGCAGTCTGTCTCCAAGGAGCCCTTTATTTCTACCTACTCCTACTGTGACCTGAGATCTTGAGAGGTTTGATTTTAAAAGGACTTTTTGCTACTGGACAAGCTGGGTCCCAAGTATTTTGCAAAATAGGCTTCTGGCTCGAGGAATGCCGGTGCTGTATAGGGAGATTATCCTGAAACATGTGCAAAAAATTTCTTGCTTCTGCAAGTTACTCCAATTCCCTTGAAATGTGGCATGCATTGTGCTCAGTGCTGCAGATTTTAATTCCCAAGCCACCTTTGCTCATTTCGTCCTCTAGTGCCACTTGAGCTGTGGAGCCCCCCTCTTTACAAACAAAGCATTCTGATTGGCTGTTCAAAGTTCTTCGGTGCTTTCTTGAAATACTGGGGAAAGGCATCTGATGTCAGTCGTAATTGTTTTGTGTGTTGTAAACAGTTGAGAACACTGGTTGCGAGTGGGATAATAAAGGAGAGTCAGAAGTCAGTCACCTCTATGCCTAGTTCTCATACCTGTTCATAGACATTGCTTCTATGGTTGATCCTTGGAGTTTTCTCCATCCAGCTGCATGAGAAATGTAGAAACTTGAAGGATGCAGGTTTACAACTGATGTGCTAGAAAAGCATACTGAATATTATGCTTTCTATTTTTTTCTTTTCTAGTGCAGAAAAATGGGGTCCGGCATTGTTCCTATTCAGCCACACGGAAGAATCTTTACATCAATAAAGACACAAAAGTTATCTGCCAGGGTTTTACCGGAAAACAGGTATGTCTTTTGAGTGACCTGTTAGAACTTTCTCTTTTCTCGCACTGCACGTATTTATTTATTAAACTTTTAGGTTGCCCAGTTAGTGCGACACAGTACTCTGGGCAGTTAAAAGTCAAAGCAAATGGAGTCTTTAAAGTATACTTGTTTGTCTGTTAAGACAACTCTAGCTCTAGAATTTTAGCAATGAAAGAAAATGTCAATGTGGTTATTCTTATTAATTGTCAAGAATTAATAATCAATTGTTTTTCAATGCTTAATGGGAGATATATAATATTCTAAAGATTCCGTTATTGAACTTTTAGCAGTACAGTATGTAGTTGTTCAAATGTTAATTCTGACAGTGAAAAATAAATGGGTCATTGGTGCTACGTCTGAAAGCATTTTCCTAATTCTGAATGCCTGTATGTGCTAGGCCAGTGGTCAGGGAACAGGGGTAAATTACCCCAAATGGGGTAAAAATGAAAAACCTGGGGGTAATGAGGGGACAACCCTAACCCTTTCCCTCTTCCTCCTCCTCCTTTTCCTGCTCTTCTGCCCAGAGGGGGGGTTCCCTGGCTCCCCGATCACCCCTTCCCCCCTTCTCCAGCCTGGCTGCAACCACGCCACGGTGGATGGCAGCCAGCAGCGGGCCCCCGCTGGTGGCGTAGAGCAGCCGAGGTGGTGGTGGTGGGGCTGGCCATGGCAGAGGGTGAGGCAGGGGCAAGCAGCTAGAGCGCCCCAGCCAGGAGGAGCCTCTCCTTCCAGTGCCCGGAGAGGGGGATTGCGGCGGGGTGCAACCATTACGGCGGCCCAGGCCAGGCTCAGCCTCCTTGTACCAGGGTGCTGCCCCACGACCCTGTTCCCGGAGGAGCCCGTCGGACGGCAGCGGCACTTGCCTAGCCATGTGGCTTCTTTTGGCGGCACCTCCACACTGGCTTGGGGGGGCCTGGCAGAGCCTCTTGCCCTCCATGCAGCAGCTGTCATGGCGATTCATGGTGAGGCCTGCAGGAGCCCTGATGCTGAGGCATGACGCAGCCGCCCCAGCGAGCAGCTGCCAGAGCCGGTGCCGGAGAGGGAGGCAGCAATGGGCACCCCCAGTGGGTGAGTCACCTGCTGCTCCTTGACAGCTGCCCAGGAGCCGCCCCTGAGGGGCCAAGGACTGAGCCAAGCAGAGGAGGACCCTACCAGACAAAGGGGAAGGTGGGCCACCGTCACCCAGGCGAGGCTTTGGTGGTGGCGCTTGACTGGCCGCGTGTGACCGAGATCCTTCCTTTCAAATCAAGGGGGTAATTTTAGTGTATATGAATTTTTTTTGGGGGGGGGAGATAAAAAAGTTCCCTGACCACTGTGGTAGGCGGAAGGTTATCTGTCTTGTTCCTGGATGCTGGTTGAAATCCTGTTATGAGTTTAAGCCCACTCATAACTATCCATCCTTTCCTCCCTAGGAAACTAAGCCCCACTACTACCATGCTTGAGAGTGCACATGCATACTGACTTGGTGCATGCACATCTCCCCCCCCCC